AACAGCGGTTCGAGTCCAGCCCAAGCTGAGCAGCTGCTGAGCTGCCAACAGGTAGCAGGATGGCTCAGCTAAAAAAAAAAAAAAAAAAAGAATTATTATGCAATGATAGGAGAGTAACTGTACATATTGAAAGAAAACCCTTAACTGAGGGAGAGTATACTAAGAAAGGATAAACCCTGGCGGAAGTTTCCCTCTCCAAGCCTAGGGTACAGCCCTCATTGGAAGTGATGGAAAAGTTGGGATACGGGGTGCTTTGCCCAGGCCAGAGCTGGTCTACAATCACCAGGCAAGCAAGAATAGCCCTCTGGAACACAGGCAAGCCAAAGCTGGTAGGAAGATGCACAAATCAAGTTGGGTGTGCAGAGAGCAAGGGTGTTGATGTTGACACAAAGCCTGGACCACACAGTGTCTGCATCTGAAGGGCCTCAGAAAACAAACTTGTGAGGCACAAGGAGCTGAGACTGATGGGCAGACAAGCAGAGGTCAGGGCACTGCTATAGGCACTGCTGGAAATGGAGGCTGAAAAGCTGTAAGAACCTCGTATACTTCTGTGCACAGCTTAGGCTGGTGCAGCTACGGGTAGCTGTTGGGACCCTGGTGCGCATGCACGTGGAGCCGAGGAGAGGATCTGGGGAGCAGCAACCAGGCTGGGCAGTCTCTGGGCCTCTCCATGGGATGCAAGTCAAGTGATCTACTTACCAGAAAGCCAGTCCAGTGGGGCCCCAGGGTGTGTTCCCTGGGGGGCTGAAGAGGGGGTGAAGGAGCAGCAATGTAGGCTGGGCACAGGCCTGTGCTGTTTGGGCTCCATACAAAGCCACTACTGCCTAAGAGGAGACCTGGAGAAAACAGGGTGGCCAATCAATGGAGGAAGCTCTGTCCTGCAGGCATCTAGCATGGAGAGACTGCACTGGCCGAGGAGTGCAGGAAAAGGGGGGACTCTCCGGAGCCTGGCGAAAGAGCCACCTGAACCAGGAAAGAGGACCCCTTCCTCCTGCCATGTGGCTCCAGGAAAAGTATTTAAAGGGCCCAGATCCACTTTCACAGATCAGGCAACAAAAGGTGAATTTGGAGCTGAGACAATATTGATAAGTGGCACCATTCCACATACACACAAACATATTCTACCACATAGGTCTGCACAATGCAGGACTCGGATATGGGAAAGAAGATAGCCAGTTCAACCCACCTGCTAGAGAAGGAACTATTCTTTCTTTCTTTTTTTTTTTTTTTAAGACTTTACTGGGGAAGTGGGGAAGGGGAACAGCCAAGTTGTTGTCCTTCAATTTTAGTTGCGGAGGGCGCAGCTAGCTCAGCTCCAAGTCCAGTCGCCATCCAGCTGCCCATTGGCAGCTCGTGGCCACTCAGCTCAAGGTGCCATGTTCAATCTTGGTTGCAAGAGGGCATACTCCATCCCATGGGGGAGTCGAACCGCAAACCTTGTTAGGAGCACATGCTCTCACCAGCTGAGCCATCCTGCCACCTGTTGGCAACTTAGTGGCAGCTCAGCTTGGGCACAGCTCACTGGCCCTTGTGGGAATCGAATCGGCAACCCTGTTGCTCAGAGCTTGTGCTCTTAACCAACTGAGCCACTTGACCGCCCGAGAACGAACTATTGTTTGATAAACACAGATAAGAAGATGTTGCCTTTCTGCTTGTATTCTTGGAGTGATGAGAACTTTTTATGTTTTGCAATTGTTTCTACTGTTGGAAAGCTGTGTTTGTGGGAGTCGTTTTAAATTTTCCCCTATCTTCTTCATCCAGTTGATCCCCAAGGACTTTGAATACAAAGTCTATCTTTTCTTTCTGTCTACACTACTGTCGCTACCATTGTCTTGGAAATTTTGTCTGGGCAATGGCAGCACTGACTTCCCAAATTTATCCTGGTGTCAGTGCTGTTCCTCATGCCTTACTTTAAATTTTCTCTCAGTTTCCCTGCAAAATCTCTTCCAGATCTTCAACCCCCCAAACAATTCCTGTGCCAATATATTCAGCAGAAAATCTGATCTGAAATATTTTCGCAATTTTATTAGTCAGACACATTTCTAATATTGTAAAATTCATTTACACTAAGATTTTTACAGGTTGGGCCCCTCTCTCAAAAGACAAGTAAGCCTCTTCCAGTGGCAGTGTGAACTAGACACAGAGGAAGGCACAGGTCCTATTTTTACTCTAGGTTACTGGAACAGAGAGAGAGCTCAGACAAAAACTATCGTAAATAGCATTAAAATTCATAAAACTAAGTCCTCTTCCTCCCCACCAAAAAATAACCTAGGTCCCAGAGGAAGTGGGAAGTCAGCAGAGGGGCACTGATGACCAACAGCCCTGAGGATTCTGCAGGGCCAACTGCGCCTCCAAGCCCGGTGAGCCGGGTAAGCTGGGACCCACGCTTGTGGTCTCCATCAGCAGCAGATGAGGGCAAAGCCTGTCCCTGTGGTATAATCTGGCTTTGTGAGGGTTTCCAATCCTGGACTATTGCCCCAACACTCAGAGAAGGAAGGCTTTTATCCTCTTCAGAACACTGGTGGATGGAACTCTAGGAATCTTATTTCATTTTTTTTAGGATTCTAGAATGTCATGTTTCAACCCATCCCACACTTCTCTTTCATTAAAGGACAGTTGAGAGTTTGGCTATTCTCCAAAATGACTTCTAGATTAAAACGAACGAATGGGGTATACCTGTGTTATTTTTTGTTGTTTTTTAAGTAAGGTGCTGGTTTTCTTGTTTGCATTTTTCTCTCCCAATAGCAGGACATGGGGAAGGGCCTTGGGGTCACCTGGAATGCAGAGGGCCTATCATATCAATCTTCAAACTCTAGAGGTGACATACCCACATACACTTTTCCCTCTGTGGCTTCCAGCTCTGACCAGAAGTGAAGTGTTGATGTTATAGGGGTAGTTCTGGCAAAGGAACATGATGGGAAATGTGTCAAAGTGGGGGGCCCACACTCCGGGTGCTGACACCTTTTCCTCACCAGAGCTGCCCGGGGGCCCACTGGGGAGCTGACTGCATGGCTGAGGGAGTGAGTAGAGAGGCTTTGGAGCAGTGACTCCTTCAGACTCTCTTTTACTGTCGCCTCTGGTGGGGTGTGAAAACACCTCTGTGCTTTTTTCTGATTTTCAAAGCCTGATGTCCATTTTGTGGACCTGGCAAACTCTAACTGGGCAAACAAATTTGCTAGAGCCTAGGCAGACCCTCTCCAGTGAATAGTTATTGGCCCAGGACATAGAAGTCAGTGCCAGGGCCTGTGGAGTTGTCAAATTGGGCAATTTGGGCTCTGAGAGAGGAGGACTAAGAAAGGGTGTGGCCAAAGGGCTGGGTCCTTGGGCTGAAAAACAATGGCTGAGGTATGGCCAGGCTGTCTTGGACCAGTTTAGAGGGATGATGTGGGATGTCATTAGCAGGACCGGATCCTGGAATTGGAGGGCTCAGGGGACATGGCTTTGGAGCTGCGTTTAGGGCTCTGTAGACCTCTGAGTAGCTAAGAGGCCCAAAGCACTGATTCATGATTGGAGAATAGTTGGGCCTGGTGATAGGACCTGAGCCTGGAATCTAGAAGGCTGCAGAGGGAGCGTGCTTAAAGGGTCCCGGGAACTGCAGGACATGAACAGACCATTAAGGAAAAGCAATGCTTTGATGGGGAGAAAAGGATTCAGCAGAGACCTGAATAGAGATTAGAAGAAAACAAACCCAGGGAAGGGAGCTTTCACAGAAGCCAGAGGGAGTGGCCAGTTAGAAGAGGCAACCCAGCTCCTGGAGACCTGGGACGTTCCCTCCCCTCAGCTGGCATGTCTCCAGAACCCAGATCCTCCGCCCCACGCAAAAATTCAGGTTCCCCAATAAACCTATTCGATTGATTTGGGACTCATTTTTTCTCAAGGGCTGGAATCATCCAGGAAGTCTGGGCTGAGAATGTGAATTCCTTCCCAGACAGACAAGAGACTAAGGTACACAGCTTGAGCCTATTAAAGATTTTACTAGAACAAAAGGACAAGAAAACATGGAAAAGAACTGGTATATGAAAATAAAACAAGTTGATCATTCTTAGATTACTTAAATAAAACCTACATTTTTATTCCATTTGATTATAAAAAGTGTGTGGGGGGGTGTCTATCTAGTTGTTAGTGCCATCTTCACTCACATACAGAAAATGAGGTGGGGTAGGGAGGGTCAAGACTTCTGAAAACCCCTCAGAGGTGACTGAGGTAGTGGTTTGTGGTGGCAACACTGTCCTCATAGTCTGTTGAGGAGGGACATCAGGACAAAGTTCCACCCACAAACCCTGCCCAGCCAGGTCTTCTCTCTGAGTGTCCTCTGGTGCAGGATGAGGTATAACTTATTGCTAAACTATCTCACAGTCTCTCTCCCTGCCCATGTAAAGCTTCTCCCAAAATAGCTATTCTCTGATATACCCTGAAGTGCGCTTTTCCTAAGTCCTTGTCCATTCTGCCCACACACACAGAGCTTCTATTCCATATATACTGGGGTTTGTGAGGGGTGACTTATGGCTAAAGCCATGCCCACACTCCTTGTACACTTATGCTGTCTTAGAGTGAATTCCCCGGAGAGACAATGAGATGGAGAATCGAGTGGTCTTTTGGGGACTGAGGGCTGGACTGGGCAGAGGAAGGAACTGACTTGCAATGCGTTTACACCTGAGAGAAGGACCTTCTGTCTGATGGGCACCTTCAGATCTGGGATGACCCTTTGGACCCAGCTGAGTCAGGGATGGGGTTTTATCCTCCATATCAATCCGTCATTGGCCAGGAGCCACCCCTTAGGAAGGTGCAGTTCCCTGGGGCTGAGAGCAGGTCCTACAGAAGAATTCATCTCTGCAGCCATCAGCAGCAGTTCTCAGAGCTGCTGGAGTGTTGGCCCTGGTAAGGTTGTCTGGGCAGAGCTCCACACATCCCCACGTAAGGATTCTCCCTACATCATGAGAAAGAGGCTGACCAATCACAAGAGCCTTGCCCACGCTCCCTGCAAACACACTCCCTGAGTGTGCCATCTTGTTCCTACCTGTTTGTTCCTTTGTTAAGGGTCACCAGCACTCCCGAACACATGACAACTTCCCTCAAATTGGCCATTGGATGTCCAGTAAATGTTGACTTATTGCTAACTCACCCACAGTCCCTGCACACATAATACTTCCCACCGAAGTGCATCCTCCTGGTGCAACGAAGGTTGACTTATGGCTAGAGTTACCCACACGCGTAAGGCTCCTCTCCTGAATGTGCCTTCGGTGCCTGGTTAGAGTTGACACATCTCTGAAGCTTCGCTCACACTCCACACACACGGAGGGACGACTCCCCAGATGTCTCTCGGGTGTGAGATGAGGTTTAACTGATTGCTCAAGTCTTGCCCACACTCTCTGCATACACAAGGCTTCTCCTCTCCGTGTGTCCTCTGGGGTCTGATAACATTTGACTTGTCGCTAAAGCCTCGCCCACACTCCCTTCAAACATGCTTTCCCCCCGAGTGTGTCCTCTCGTGTCTGATGAGGGTCGACTTATCAAAAAAGCCTCGCCCACACTCCCTGCATATATAAGGCTTCTCGTCCGAATGTGACTTCCGGTGTCTGATGAGATTTGACTTGTAGCTAAAGCTTCGCCCACACTCCCTGCAAACATACTTCTCCCCTGAGTGTGTCCTCTGGTGTCTGATGAAGGATGACTTCTCGCTGAAGCCTTGCCCACACTCCCGACAAACACAGGGCTTCTCCCCAGAGTGAGTCCACTGATGTCTAATGAGGACTGAGTTATTTCTGAAGCTCTGCCCACACTCCCTGCACAAATAAGGCTTCTCTTCTGAATGTGTTCACGCGTGTCTGTTGAGGTTGGACTTCTGGCTAAAGCCTCGCCCACACTCCTCACACACATACGGCTTCTCTCCTGAGTGTGTCCTCTGGTGATTAATAAGGATTGCCATCAGGCTGAAGCCTCGGCCACACTCACTGCACACATAAGCCTTCTCCATTGAGTGCGTCCGATGGTGTCTGATGAGGTTTGACTTATCTTTAAAGCCTCGCCCACACTCCCTGCAAACATAGGGCTTCTCTCCTGAGACGGTCACCTGGTTTGTAATACAGTTTGATTTCAGGCTACAGTCTAGTTCATGCCAGCTACAGCTGACTGCTCCAAATCTTGGGGTTCCTAATTCCTTCACTCCTTTGTCTGTTTGCACAGGGTTTACCATTTGAGCTGAATTGGGCTCTATATCTACCACCATGCCACCTTCTGTAGGACTTGCTGACTGTCCTCGGGGTGGACTGGGGAATGCACTTGAGGTCTCTCTCTCCTCTGTCCTCACACACCAGGGTCTGCAGTCACCTTCTCTCTCTTGACCTTCTGTGTTTTCACTCCAGCAGCTTTGAGCAGAAAACTCCTGTTTCTGATGCCCTGGGCCAGAATCCCTTGGATGGAAGTCACAGAAGCCTGAGGAGATCTGAAGCACATGTTGGCTGAGGAGTGGCTGACAGTGGGCCAGGAGGCAGGAGGAACAGGGGTCTGTTTCTGGCTTTGATTCTGCTGGAGAGAGAGAGTGTTCAGTTAGAGAAGCCCTAAGCAGGGCTGCTAGGCTGTTCCGCCTTGTCTTAGGACAGAGTGTCTTCCTGCCACATCTGTTATTGATAAATTACGTTCAACATGATTTGTTTCTCACCAGTAATTCCTTTACATTCCATTTCTACACATTCCATTTTCTATTGCAATCCAGTAAATCCACACCAAAAAAACATTTTCTACACGTCAAACAGCCTAGGAGCCTTTCGAGTAAGCATTCTGCTTTGTAAACAGCTTTAATACAGTCTGCCTTTCCTTTCTAGTAAATCATCTAAGCCATCGACACTCACATTGATATTGATATATACTGTCCACAACACTGTTCTACTTGGAGGTAATAGTCTCTATGACCTATACAAAAATCTCCTTCATGACTTTTCTTATTAAAAAAAAAGACTGATACACATAAAAAGTCACTTAGTCTATAGGGCTTCCAAATGTAGTAGACAATATGTGAAACAGTGGTTAAAGAGATCGTGTATGGAATAAATCTGAATTTCAGGCTGCTCATCGTAAACACTTAGTATTATAAATTTCTAAGCACTAAGTTCTCTACTAAGTATGGTGGATTCAGCAATGAACAAGAAAGACATGGTCCACGACTCAGGATTCTGGCATCTTGTGCCCCAACCAATCCCCTCACAGTGACATCAGACCTGGCTATGGGATTTGCTTTGGCCAATGAAGGTTGGTGAAAAGTTAGTGCCAATTTCAAACAGGTTTTAAAAGCCACAGTGTGGTTCCTTCATTGTTCTTTGCCCCTCTTCTTTAAGAATCCCATGACCCAGACAGAGGCCAGTCCTTTTCCCAGAATTCCAGAACCAAAACAGCTGAACCCGGCCTGAACTAGTATTACTAGTAGACAAGTAATAAAAGTAGAAAAAGTAATGTTTGCTATTATAAGCCACCAAAGTTTGGGGTTGTTTGTTATCACGGCATTACCTAGCCTATGCTACCTGAAACATCTCCTCTATGAAACCTTTAAAGATTATTTCAGGGGAAAATGGCCCATTTATTTCTAACAGTCCCCTTAAAGAAGAGACATTGTAACATGAATATGTGAAGAAGGAGAGAAAAAGAGACTGGTTTAGGAGGGAAAATAGTATGACCTCAATTTTTGATAAGTTTGAAAATAAACTTGTGCTATCTTGTAATTACATAGAAATATAAGGATAAAGCACAGGTGAGACAGTGACAGAGAAAATGGGTTCATCATAATAAGTGATGGGCAAAATCATTGAAGTTCACAAATTGTTTAAGGGTGTGAACAAAGGCCCAGAAAAAAAGGAGTATGTGACACTAGTCCTATGGATCTCTACAGTCTAAAGAAAAGAGAAAAGCTGAGAAGAGAGACATGAGAGGCTGAAGGAGTGCCGAATATTGTGGTGTCGAGCAAGACAAAGGAAACAGTTTCAAGAAATGTAAGAGATCCAGGCTTTCCCTATCAAGACTAATTTTTTTTTTTAACTGAGCCATCCTGCCACCTGTTGGCAGCTCAGTGGCAGCTCAGCTCGGGCCGGGAATCGAACCACTGTTGCTCAGAGCTTGCACTCTTGAGCGGGCTCTTAACCAACTGAGCCACTCGGCCAGCCCCTATCGAGACTAATTTGAACCATGTCATTTTAACCTTTTCCTCTGAACCAATCCAATGTATTAACATAGAGAAAGAGAATAACATGACTGGAGGGAAATAAAAATAAAAATAAAATCTAGTTAGGTTGACTAGCTAAGGCCAAATCAAAACACAGAACCAGACTGAAATGGATGAATCTACACTTAACTAGATGGAGCTCAAACTAGATGGAATCAGATCAAAACACATTAAATAAGGTGAAAATGAAACAAAGAAACTCGGATTAATTGGTATCAGGGAAACAGCCATGCCATTTGAAGAAACTCCTGAAGAAACTCCTGATTGAAACTAGCTCCTGTCTCCAAAAATGTGACTCTTCTTTATATAGTATCTAGAAATATAGGAATAGCTAGAACTGCATTATCCAGTATGGTAGCCGCTAGCCATACCTGTTTATTGAGCACTTGAAATGTAGCTACTCTGAACTAAGATTGGCTGTAAGGGTAAAATACACACAAGATTTTGAACACTTGGTACAAAAAAAGGTTAAATGTCTAATTAATTTTTTCTTGATTACATGTTGAAATAATATTTTGATATATTGGATTAAATAATACATATTATTAAAATTAATTTTGCTCATTTATTTCTACTTTTTTTTAATGTGGTTACTAGGAAATTTGAAATTACCAACATGATTCACATTTTATTTCTACTGGACGGCACTGATCTAGAACAAAGGGTGGGAAAACTACAGCCTACGAGCTACATGTGGCCTTCTATTTCTGTGCGGTCTACTAGCTAGGAATGGTTTGTACATTTTTAAAGAGATGGCAATAAGTCAAAAGAATAATATTTCATGATACAGAAAAACTATATGAAATTCAAAATTCAGTGTCCACAAATAAAGTTGATGGGAACACAGCCATACTCACTCCTTTACATATTGTCTGTGGCTACTTTAGCACTACAAGGACAGAGTTCAGAGTGATTACAGAGGCTAGATGGCCTACAAAACCTAAAATAGTCACTATCAGGCCCTTTACAAAAAAAAGTGGCCAATCCCTAAATCAGAGTGCTGCAATCAAAAGTATTTATCAACCTAGATTTACAGAATCAATGTACATTTTTAAATAAATGAAAAAGAAAAAATATGGCTTATGAAACCCATACAAACTTTGACATTTAATTTTAACTTCTGCCGCAGAAGGCATTTCTCACTACTCTCCCCCTTGCAAACTGTGCTTCCAGTATCACTGGCCTCCTTGCAGTTCCTTATACCTAGCAGGCACATCCCTTCCTGAAGGTCTTAGCACCAGCGAGCCCCTCCATCTGAAATGCTCTTACCCTAGGTACCCAGAGCTCTAACTCCCTCACCACATTTGTCTCTGGTCAAATGTTACCTCCTCATTGATTTCAAACACCCAATTTCAAAATTCAGCCAGCCACCTACTCACACTCAATACTCCTTTATCCTGCTCCACTTTTTTTTATTACATTTTTCTAGGTAGTGCTAATCACCTTCTAACATACCTCATTGCATCACGATATCCCTGTATATGCAACTTTTTTTGTTTGTTGTCTGTCTCCATATACTAGAAAAAGTAAGCCCTCATGGGTAGGGATTACTGTTTCATTTGCTCATGGGTTCTAAGTGTTTATAACATTTTCTGGCACATACTAGTATGTGGTAAATACATCTGTACTGAATTAATGAAGGAAGGAACACAGCCTCACCCAGTGACAGCAGATTCCTGTAATTCTCCAGCATCACTTCTTTGTATAGGTGCCTCTGCTCAGAGCTCAATCTTTTCCATTCTGCCTCTGTGAAGACCACAGCCACATCCCTGAATGTAACTGGGACCTATAAACAAGCAACCAGTTAATAGACAGCAAGTCACCATCAATTTTCCCAATGTGAGGTGCATATCTGGTCGCCCTGGAGAGTCCGATATGCAAGAAGTTGGTCTAGTTCTTTTCAGAATATCCAGTTCTCAACATCACATTCTTCTGGGCATTACTATGGCTTGGTGTTAAAATTTGAGGGAGCATAACTGATACATACAACACACTCCTGGCCCTTGACACTTACGATTTCACTGGAGAAATGATTTGTGAATCAATTTGAAAACCTCAAGCCGTGCTCAGGAAAGTGACCCTGAGGCTTTGTAATGGACGAATTCTGAGACGGAAGAGTTGAGGATGGGCAGGAGAAGTCCCATTTAAAGGGGAATTTGTGTCCACAGTGTATCATCCAACAACTCATAACCAACAAAGAAAGGATGAATTTACAATCCAGTGAGATTATAATTTAACACTTAGAACTGAAAAGTTATTTGCATTTTACATACCAGGAAAATTTCAAGTTTTCTCTCATTCTCATAGTCATATATCCTTTCTTTATCTTTCTCTCCCTGCCTCTCTCTCCCTATCTATCTACCTATGTAATTTTTTGTTGAAGGCTAAACATTTTAGGTAAAAGACTGTAGCAGCTCTGCATACCAACCCTGCCCCCTCCCCAGGCTGTTGCTGTGGTCTCTTGTTCATGTTTTGTGACTCGTCTGGACCAGTTCAATACAGGTTACTGCCCCTGAATACGGCTTATCAGCAGGGGCAACCTTGAACATGCTCAGTCACTCTGACCTTCCCCCTCCAAAAACGTCAGCCTTTTTAACAGGGCTCTCTTGGTATCTCTCCGTGAAGATCCCCCATTAAGGTTCTGGCTGGTCTGCTTTTATTGGTATCACACCCAGCTGTTAGCCTCCACCAATCGCTAGCTGATCACTCTACTGTTTTCAACAATGTCTTGGGATAGAAATGGCTCCACAGTCTGATCCAATTAAAGTCAGGCCCTTTTTTGCAGGGTATAGTTTTGAGGCCAGTATCTGAGACCACAGGAAGGTTCTTCTCAGCCATCTCTTTCCCTGGTTCTCTCCGTTAAACTCCTAGCTGATCTGCCATTTCGCTTGTTGCTATCATGGACCTGCCAGCTTCCTCTTAATTGCTCACCACTAAAATCTCCATTTTTTTCAACAGCACCCTTAGGCTTCAACTTCCCTATGCTCTGTTCCAAATAAAGCCAGTGCCCTCAGAGAGCACTACACTGGACTCTGTTCTTCCCACCTGCCTCTCCCCCTGGGCAGGACTGTGGGGAGCCATGGTTACAGGTAATTCAGAGCCTTACAGACTGGCTCAGTTAATGCTTAACCTGTTTCTGCTCCTAAGGCCTTGTCTCTGCCTGCACCTGGAGAGTGTTTACAAGTTGTTGAGGTATGTGGTGAGGATGGCCAGTTCCTTAGGAGATACTACAGATAGATGGCTATCTTGGCTAATGGAAGAGA